AGGAACAAAAATAATAATAATAATAACAGAATAAAAATAAACTCTCTCCTGGGCTCTTCGGTTTTTAAAGTTGTGGCAGTCTTTGGGGATTTATTTTAACCAACTGGATTTGAGAGCGAGCTTTTTCATATAACTACTTATCTCTACAAACTCATCTTTAGTGAGTCGCTGAACCAAACTGTTATCAGAGTTTATGATTTCCTGGCTAACTTTATATCTAGTCTCGGGGTGCTCCATTGACAGGTGCTCCGTTTTAAAGAATGAAATGTGAGTGAGCTTTTTGGGATCATGCTTTTTTGGTGTGTTTAGTCACAGCTTTACCATGAGTTATTATTTTGGAGAGTTTACTCGAGCGCTCTTTTTGTAGCAAATATATTTTTTTGAGGATTTTATCTTACTCAAAGGTCACCTGTCGTATCAAATTTTGGAATATCTTTATTCGTGTGTTGTGGCAGCGCCATATGTGGATAGTGCGCAGGTTTTACAGTGTTGTTCATCTGTGTGTTCTACTGCTATGCGGCTACTTAATAATTCCTCAAAATACGGATTAAAAGCTATTAAAGAACCGCAGCTACTGAGGCCTTAGCACAGGGGCACTTGACGGAGAACGTCCGCCAAGTGTAATAAGCAGTATTACTAAGGCTTTGTGTGATTTAATGAAGGCAGAGAGAGCATCGTTTGTTGGAGTATTAACGGCAAAGTTGGGATATTTTTTTTTTGATACGAGAAACATATTGTGAGGGTTAAAACTTCAATCCAATACTTCACTGCTATTTCAGTTATACTGTGTACTTTATAATGTTAGGCTATGGAAAGAACTTTAGTATGCGAGAGGCTACAAAATATCTTTGGGATTCTTGAACAATGAGATCTCGTTTTTTAATTATGTTTCTCTTAAAGGAAATAGAACGTTTTGCAATGGATAGCAATAACCATTTCTCTGCTACTTGTGCAGTGCGAGAGCACCGTTTGAGTAAATGCCAGTTGAGTTAAAGCCAGTGTTCTTTATGCCTGTCAAGAGGGCAGGACTTTTCTGCATCATTTTGTACTCAAGAAAAAGCATTATGTCTTTGGAGGTTCGAGTCTTTTTGAGGAGCTGTTAAGTGATGGAGAAGTAATTGATGGCGCTTTTTCATAATGTATTTATGTGAAGTTGCTTTTGCAAAGGCTTTTTAAGTGAGAGTACGTCAAAGAGTTCGTGCAGTAATTATTTTCTTTTGCGAACTAAATCCAGTCTTTGGCTGATAGGACCTTAATTTATAAACACTCCACTATCGAACGGGATCTGTTGCAGATTTTGCAAGAGACTTGCTTTTTAGGTTGTGTTTGAAATGTAAGAGTTGAAGTTCCGAGGGCACCTACTCTGCTCGAACCTTATTGAGTGTTGATGAAAATTCAAGGTTCACATTTCCCTGTAAGCATTTCGTTTTCTAATTTCTATAATATTTGCTGCTTCTAAAGACAACCCCTTCTCTGTGACAACCCCTTCTCGCTGTAAAATGGTGGGATGCTTTACACAACGGGTTGTTTTGGGGGTTGCGCCTGGGATTTCAATGCAGCGGGATCGGGTATTATATGGTAGATATATTCTTCGCATTCTATTCGAGTTTTTTTCGTGGCACTCAGCTACCGGTTTTCATTTACTGAAGAATATATAATGCCAAGTTAGGCCTGAGGTAATATTAAGCTGTTGGGGTGCTATAAGTTTCGCAGCCGCAATCTTTCGCTGAAGAAACAGCTGAGCTTTCCCCGCATACATTGATAGCTGGGCTAGCGTTTAAAGCAACAACCTCTGCACGATCAATGCGTTAAGATTTTAGATATCTAAGGTACAAATTGTTGTTGTATTTTTAAAAAATTTTTTTTTAAGCAAAACAGTTAGTTGAATTTTTGCTGAATCGAAACAGGCAAGCGTAAAAATGCTACAAACTCTGGACAAAGAACACAGAACACAGACAGATGGATGCCAGTGAGATGGAAGGGCTCTATCTCCTGCCAGACTGACAAGACCATGTTGGCAGACAGTGAAGGTATCTAACTTTCACTCGGAACATCTTAAAGGGAGGAAAAGGAAATGTGGAAATATATATGTAAAGTGCGGCAGCCAGTCAGTGCCAACTAACCTTAATTACGCTGAAAATATCGATTTTTGTATTTGTGGTATGAAAAAAGAGAATTAACAGAATTTAAACCGCTCTTTTAGCAAAGAACTAAGAGGTAATTTTAAAAATATACTTTCAGAACAAAAACAAAAAAAAATATTGAAAACTTAAATAGTTTTATTTTAAAAAAGCAACAATTTACTAGATTCTATTTTCTTCTAATTCTTCACGTACTCCATATAAACATAGTATTTACATAGATCGCACATACATATCTAGATATTTCTTTGTTATCGATAAGTACAACATCAAATTCCAGGCAAAGGCAAAAACTGATTGAAAATAGTAGAGGATAAACGTAAAAAAAAAAATAAATAAATGTAAATTCACATTCATATGGAAAACAATGAGAGACAGATATTGGCGTTCCTCTAACTCTAGACGATCAATGCATTATCACTTTACATATCTAAGGTACACATTGTTGTTGTATTTTTTATTTTATTTTTTTTTTTTAATTTTTTTATATTAAGCAAACCAGTTTGTAAAATTTTTATATATAATTTTATTTTGCTCTAATTTTCTATTTTTGTTTTTGTTAACTTGTGTACATTGGTCAAATTGCCGCTCAAGGTGTTAAGAATATCAGGTTTGGGCGTATTGAACGTTGATGATGTGCTTGTTGATGTAGTTGTTGTTGTGCTAGTAGTAGTTGTTGTAGTTGTAGCCGACGAAGCACGATGCAAACCAGCTTGTCCATAACCCGGTAGGCGAGCATTATGCGACCGACTGTTATGACCCAGCGCGCCGAGAAAGCCCGGCGCAATAATCGAGCCAGAGATCAACTGGCGAGCGAGCGAGCGAGCGAACAAGCGTATTTACAACGGTGTAAGTTGCAAGTAATTGAAAGTTGAGCAATTTTTAAAAGAAAAAATGAAATGTGCAATTTTTTTTTTACACATGTGAATGTGTGTGTGTGAGTGTGTGTGTGCATGTGCGTATGTAACAGTGTTAGATGATTTTTTTTTTATTTATTTGATTTGTTATTAGTAAGATTTTTCAGTTTTATTGTTGGCAATATTGACAAAAGACAAGAAGAATTAGAAGTAGAATGGATGGAAAGAGAAAAATACAATATCAATATTTGCAATTCTCTTTTCGTATTTTTTTTTTTTTTTTTTTTTTTTGTTATTTATTTATAATGTATATACATTGCTGGACGTTAACTGGAAAATTATTTTAATTTGTATTTTCCATATATGTCTATGTATATATTTGTTATATGTACTTATGTATGTACTCCATTATTTATAACTAGATATACTACTTATATAAAAAAAAAAATATATATATATATAACAGTTAAAAAACAATTTAAAAAAAATGTAACAAATTTATTAAATATTTTTTTTTTTCTTTTTTCTGAATTTCAAATTTACTACTAATTAAAATATAGTACAATTTATGAAACGAACGAAACAGCATACATACACACACATACACAACTCGCAGCCCTGAAGCTCTGCAGTTTCTCAGGCTTTCAGTCGCTCAAACAAACACAAACAATTTCTAGAGAAAGTTATTGCATTGGCTACCCACTTGCTTGACAAGCAAATTTTAGGTATGAGCAAGAAGAAAGAGCGGTCGGTCTGCGTCTACACCTAAGCTTTTATACCTTCCATGACAATATTAAACTTATGGTATTTCTTTTTAAAATTAAATATTAATTCTCATGTTGGAAAAATTGGTTGTTGTCCTCGGTTTCCGATCATTTTCGTTGACAATGTTTATTTGTATATATATATATATGTGTGTAGAATGCAAAATTTCATGCTTGCAAATCTTTTTTGTTGGATTTTTTACCCTCAAAAAACTCCAAATCTGAACAAATTGTTTGTATGGGGTCTATATGACTTAGTACTTCGATTTCGATGATTTTCAGTGGGAATGGATTTTTTGTAGATTTTTCTATACTTTTAGAAGCTTCTTTGACGATTTTGTTAACCGAAACGTCATATTTTGGTAAAATTCATAGTATGGGAGCTATATTATATAGCTCTCCGATTTTGATTATTTTTAATGAAAACATTTACTTGTAGACACGATTCTATAATACCAAATTTCATCCTCTTACAAGCTTTTTTGTCGGAGTTTTGGACAAAGTCTCATCTGAAAAAATCGGTGGATGGGAGCAAAAACACATTGCTTTTCCACGACGCACTCCAAATACACTCCGAATTACCTATTTCGCCATACAAAATTTTTTAAATCGAATTACACTAACAGGCCTATTCTGTCGAGGAGGAAGCGCAATACCTCCACTTCGTTGGAAAGACTAGAGCACATAGTTTCTCGTTTCATTATAACAAATGGATAAAAGTAGCCTGAAGTCTATAAGTAATATACAGAAACTCCCTTAAAAAATAAGTTAATTAACAATTTCTTGCGTGGTCGCAACTTGGGCAAACGGGAAGAGATATGTGTTCTTTACACTATGAGTACCACACGTGTGAACCCCTAATTTGGCGTTCATTATGCACACCAACCCAGCTGCATGCTGTGATGAGACGTACTATCTGTATAGTTCTCCAGTTAAATTAAGTTCATCCCAACACTCACACAACTCACCCACTTTCACACTAAAATATCTCTCTTTCTCTCTGAGCATGTGTGCCTTAAAATGTTACATATTCATACCTTTACTCATTTGGTCTTAATTTTAAAAATGAAAAAAAAAATCTCAAAAACCAGCCAGCCAACCAACCAACTGACGCAAACAAACAAGCAAAATTGAAACATAACAACAAAGTAACGTAAAATAAACTAGAACACTAACAAAAAATGAGAAAATAAACTGAAATATTTTATATTTTACGAGCCTCCGTGGCAGCTACTTACCTCTTTAATTAAACCCCACGTTGGCTCATTGCCCGGATGCCGTATGGCTTGACGGCTGACGCCAAAACTCATTAACACCACAGCCAAGAGTACAACAAAATAAATCATGTTCTTAACCATTTTACCCATCATAGTGACCAAGGGACCTAGAAAATGGGAAAGTAAAAGTGAAAGTAAAAATAAGAGTTTTTAAAGTATCTACATTGTTTATATTGTATTTTATGAGCGTGTACTAAGGTTGCGTGAGTTTGATGATATTCATATGTACATTTTTACAAATATAATATTAAATATTTGTAAATATGTATATAAAAAAAATAAATTAAAAAAAATAAAAACTAAATAAAAGGGATTTTTTCAGATATGTCGTTTTTAAGAAGAATTTAAACGAATTTAGCTTTATTATAAAGACAGAGGTTTACTATTATGATTTAAAAGATAGCTTCGGACCTAGAAGCCCCTACAACTTTTTTACTACTTTTTGTAGCTATTGGTGTCTTTGTCCGCAGTAACGCGCCGAATATTCTCTTCGTCTCGGATTTAGATATCTGATGCAAATCTACTCTGGAAAGCACAGTACACGTACACTAATGGCAAATCGGTAGTCACAGCATAACATAATGTAGTGCGGAAGGTAGAATCGGCTCTCGAATGCTATGGGCATCCTCCTCAACATATCTAGAGCGCTCATAAACATTTTTAAACACTTCTTCAAGAACGGATTAGAATCAAGAGGAATCAACGTTTTTAGTAGAGCCTGCAGCAGGATATTTGACGCGGGCACTCTTCTTTGGATCCTCGCGGTCAATCAATTGCTGTTGAAGCCTGAAAGGGCAACTGACATACTAACGACGCGGACGACACCTTCGTCATTGTGGTTGCTAAGCGTTTAGTAAGCCGTGGATCTCTGGAGAATCAAACACTTTGAATCAACAACAACTAGGCTCTTTCAGTAGGTTTTAAGGTTTATAATGAAAAAAAAAAACAGATCTGGCCCTGAGGTACAGAGTTCCAGCATATATTTTAAACTAAAGCTACGTGAGATAATTTTGCAGCTCCAACTTAGTTCTAAGTTTTAAGGATCTTGTTGGATAGCAAGTTGACTTGGAGATTCAAAATGGACGAGTGAGTGAATTTATCTACAAGTAAACGGAATTTTTTGGTTACACTTGAGGTCTCGCTCTGAGTTTTCGTTGCGATCGTTAATTTAAAACTTCTCTACGGTGCTCTCGCAGGGTGGAGAGCTGTAGGTATATCAAAACATACATATTTAGGGCTTTCAAGCTTTTAATTATCAGCATCACCGGAGCGCTCATAAGAACACCAGCAATGCTAGCAGCATAAACTAGAGAATTTCGGCAACGCTACGCGGCTGTACGCCTCTAGGCAACGAATAGACTACATAAACTCGCGTTTTTCGAGAAGCTGCTGTCTACTGAAATAGAGGCGAGTGGATAGATCAAAAGCATGAGAGGTGACAAGGTCATTTAAGATATCAAATAGTACCAGTATCTTCCAAGCAAATATATTTGCCATAAAAATTAGTTCGGTATGGTTTTTGTATTCAAAAGGTTTTATTTGTATGAAAAAAGTAAGCAAATCGAAGCACTCAATCCTTGAGCCATTCTTCTAATTCCTCAAAAGACCGAAGACGGTGAGCCCACAAATTCTTTTTTCATCTGTTCAAAAAGTCAATAGTCGGAAGGAGCAAGGTCTGGAAAATACGGTTCGTGTGGTAAGACCTCTCATTTCCCCGTTACCAGGTAGTTTTTAGCCACTACAGCCAGGTGGGACTGACCGTTTGCCATTTCGCAAACTTAATTTGATTTCCGCGTCGGTACTTTTTGGACATTTCTCACGCAATACACTGCTGAAACGGATCAGTTGTAGTTAATACCGTTTCGCTTCAATGGTTTCGCGTGGTTCTGGCAGCTCATAGTATATTGAGCTCGTCTGGTGTCATATGCAAAGAATGACCTTTGAATAGTGGAAGTTTTTCTTTGGTATCGAAGATGATGACGGTACGAGTTCCGCTGTTTTGGCACAGCATTTTTTCTTACGATTATTACCGAAAATTTATTTTCCCTCTGCAGTCACAGACCGGGGCGAAAATCCCTTCATTTGATGCCTTTTAAGAAGCAATACCGATGTGAAAAGTCGTCTTTCAACATCTCTCGGCTTCAATTCGTACGGCACCCGATTTTCTTGCTTTTGGATAAAAACAAATTGCTTTGAACGTGTAAAGCTTGTTTGATGAGTCAGTCTCATTGATTCCGTTCAGTTTGTTGGCAGAGATTTTGATTCAGTAAAGCCTACAATATCTCATTTACAAACTTTTTGTTAGCTAAAATCACAAATTATAAAACATCGGAACTACTCTCTGCGTAAATTATCGGCCTGTGTAGATTCGTCATAAACTTCCGCAAGCATTCGGTATACTTTGGCAGCACTTTTCTTCAAGTTTAAAAAGAAAAGCAAAACTTTCCGAAACTCATGGTTATTTAACAAAAATTTGGAGATTTTCGAAGAGTCAAAACACAATATTGTTGTCAGAAACAGACGAAATAGGTGTTGATTTCCAAGATTGGTCACAACTGGCAGGTGGGTCCATATCTTTGGGAACGGACCAAATTAATTTCTATCTCCAGTATTGATGCAGGTATGATTTGCGATAAATTAATTTTCGTGGTGATAGTAAATACTGGAGTGAAATGCGAACCATTTTCACTCAAAAATAAATAATAAAAATAATACCGCTAAACACTTCAAAACTAAAAGGCGAATATTTTGCATTCGAAACTCATTAAGTAACTGAACCGTTAAGAAGTGTTGGCGAAACGAAAGTGTCCCATTTGCATAATGACGAAAATAATGAGATTGAATGGCTTAAAAAGGGTAGCGATGTAAAAGAGTGCTTAAAAAAGGATCGAGATAAATATATATGCACTAAATTAAATTGACATATACATATGTATGTGTGTATGTAAATTTTAAATTAATTAATAAAAAAATTCAACTGAAATTTAGTGAGTATTATAATGAAATCGAAATAATGATTTACACTGCCCATTGCAGAAATTCATTGCATTCCATTAGGAGAAAGAAAAATCGAAATAAAAACAAGTTTAATAAAAAACCAAAAATCAGGCATGTATGTGTATGTGTATGTGTAAAATATTTGTATTTATTTTTTTTTCATTTATTTCACACTTACCCAAATACTTGTTGACACCCAAAATATTCAGTATACGCAAATACCAATAAATACTATCCACACAGTAAATAACACGTCCAATATCCATTGTGTTGGGTCGAAAGCGCAACGATAAACCGATCAGGAACAAGATAATGGCGGCTGCATCGCAAGGATTCCACATATTCCAGGCCCAAACCGCAAATTTATGGCTGTTGCGAAAGGAGAAAAATCACACGAAAAAGGATATTGAAAATAATAAAAATAAAAGAGAAATACAGACGAAAAAAAAGGATTGGCAAAAGAGTGTAGAATCCGACTCTAGCGCCACATATGTATGTAAGTGTGCTTGTATTTAAATGTAATTAAAAAATATAATGAAATTACATCAATGGCAGTGCTGTGCATGTAATATGAGCGTCATGTTATTCAGCGACGAAAGTCAACGCGAATGGCATTGGCGCGTAAAACTTTCAGTCGACAGCGTAGGCCGGCGAAAAATGCAATGGGCAAAGCGGCAAATAACACATGTTTTTAAAGGGGCGGCGCACAGTGGTGTTTTACTGGAAAAAATATTGAATTTCCCAAATATGAACATCCATTTTTGCAAAAAAAAAAAAAATATCTGAAGAGATACATATGAGAATTTTCCCCAATTGGATCTGCTATTGGAAAAATATTTAATAAAAATAATTTACAGCGAATTTTTATATTATCCACAGCAGCAATTCTCATCTATAAGTATTTAAAAATATGCATTCGCGTAACCTAGCAACGTGAGAGACACTTAGGGAAGTGTGTTCGCTTGTGTAACGGCTAAATGAGAAGGCACTTTTGTGGAACTACTCCGACATATTTTTTTTAAGAATTCACCGAAGTGAAGCAAGCTTCAATGAAAAGTTTCATTGATAGAATCCTCGGAACGACTGTCGGAAAATTCTGCCTCCACAACGAAATATCCACCAATGAATTGACGCTGTTTGATTTTTAGAAATTCAAGTTACTTGGCTGTCTCCAGTTCAAAAATCGTGATATCATAGACGGATGACATGTGTCTAGTTTTCTTGAAGTACGTTTGCTTCCAAGACCTAACAACGCCACGGACCAACAGCAAAATTTGTCCCCATCTCTATGTGGCAAAGAACGCCATTAAGCAAACAAAAAGAAGGCTTTCCAACAGAAAAATGCACTCCCAACAGAGAGAGACGAACGGTTTTCTACTCGTTTTGAATGCCGAAGTCCGTGAATATGAACAGCTTAAGAGGTTGAAGTACATGCTCGTAAGTTCTACGAAAATAAGTGCCGACATGGGATAACACTTCTCCAACATGCGAAATAGCACACCAGGAGATAGCGAAGTCGATTTCCCAATCTGTGACCATGGAACACATGCTTCATTGTGCGACTATGAATAACTTGGAATAGAAATTGCCCGCTTTAAAACCAGGATAGTGGCGGAGACGATAAATCGTTGGCCGAGCTATTCAAATATGGCGCCGAACAACTGACAAGTTGAGTTCAGCCTTCCCCTGCTTGGTTGGGAAAACGAAGCGTATAGGCCTGTTAGAGAACGAGGATAAGACTAAATATCTTCTGACATCAAAAAAAATGTCATCATATTCGCGACTCGGTTCCCACGTCATTGTTGGCAGTCATAATTTTGAAGTCGCAGATAATTTTGTCTTTCTTGAAACCAGCCATTAATACCAACTCCTGAAAAAAGGTGCTACTTCGGACCGAGTAGACAATTCAAGTAAAGTTCTCTCGCGACGCTGAATACAATAGACAATGGTACTATCATAATATTTAATTCATTTGATTAAAAAAATTGGTGAAACTATACCACTGTGCTATGATTTGATAATACTATATATGAACTTACGTTATGGCCACCGGTTCCGATGAGATAATTTCACGTATTTTCTCAAAACCCAAAGTTGCAATGTAGGCAATGGAGTAGACTTCTTGCCAACGTGGCGTCGGACCCATTTTCACCAAGACAGTGTAGGTGAACATGAACAGAAAAAACATGTAGGCAATCTATAGAAAGAAAGGAAGGAATGATAATTATTAACTCAAAAGAAATTAATGTAAATTATTATTTAGGATTAAAATAAAAATGGACAGCAAATCGTAAATACGTAGCTGTAATTAAAGGGTACTTTTTTTTGACATGTGGTTTTCTGGAAGAAACAAAACGAGCTTTATTAAGGAGATAGGGCTTTGTCATTATGGTTTAAATGTGACTTCGGGCAGGTGACCGGCGTGGCTAGCTTGAATGTATTCCAGTCGCCAGTCCCGATTTTCGACCATTTTTTCCAGCAGAAGTAACGCGACAAATATTAGCTTTCAAGGCGTCAATCGTCTCGTGCTTATCCACGTTCATAAGCGACTTCACAAACTCAAACAGAAAATAGTTTAGCGGTTCGCACGGACTTGGAGGCCATGCCACTGTGCCACGGCAAGATAATGCGCTCATCAATAGTTTTCTGGCTGTATGGAATGTAGTGCCGACTTATTGGAATCAGAGATCGTTCACATCAATATTCTAAAATTGTTAACGGCTGAAGTTTTCGGGATAGTTATACTCCTGATTCCCTCTGCCCATTAAACAGACCAAACAGTGACTTTTTGCGTCACTCCAAATGCGACAGTTTTGTTTCTTAACCTATCCATTCAACCAAAAGTGAGCTTAATAGCTGAACAAAATTTCCTTTATGTGAATGCAGGTATCAGTAGCCACCCCGTTTTCGGCCCATTTAACGAACGTGCGACACGCTTGATGGTCATTTAGCTTCAATACTTGTGCGAGTTGGGTTTTGTAAGCCCGCAGACCAAGTTCTTTCCACAAAAGCTTGCAATAGTTGCTAAGATCTAATTGTTGCGCACGTTGGCGGATGGACTCATTTGGGTTTCTTTCGATACTCTGCCTCAAAGGTGCAATAACATTTTCGGTGCGCACTGTGCGGCGTCTCAGAGGACGCGCATTATCCACTACAGTGAACATGGGGCGGAAACCAATCTGTGGTTGCTCGAGTCACCGACTCTGCTGACCGACTATGTCCACGATATATTTAAAAGTTTTTTTGACAATATATTTTCAAGATGGCAAAAATTGTTCCGAAGTAAAAAATATCGCCTCACTGAAAACCAATCGTCTAAAAACCACAACACCCAATTCTTCGCTAATTACTTACCGAATCTGCCCAGAACTTCGTTATTGGCGCTGTATAAAATTCATGGAATTTCTTCTTCAAACGCAATGGCTGATGTTGTTTCAACTCATAATCGCCCAAATTAAAAATATCACGAAACTGTGATGGATCGGAGTCGGTGAGTGAAACCTGAGTTTGCGGCCGATTGTGACGTCATAAGCAAAGAATGAAAAGAAATCATTATATTAAAATAAATTTATTTATACTAGAAAAAAGAGACAAAAATACAAATTCATAAGCAATGCAAAAACTAATTCATTAATAACAATTTGAGCATTTTTTTTCTTTGAGTGAGCATGAAATATTTACAAAAACAATTGAGAATTTAATGTATGAATTTGTGCAGAAAAAAACATGCCATTTTTTGGAGTGCCGATTAGTGGTGAATTTTATTGTTTTGTGTATAGCAAATAGCAAATCGAACAAGTTTAAACCAATAAACAAGCATTCTACTTCTTCTTTTCTTCATTATTGTGCCGAGTCGTGCTGTGGGGACGACATGTGCACGGTGGGACGTTGACAAGCGAGCATATTTATATATGTAAGTAATGTAAATACGATGCAAAGTGCTTTGGTGTTGGGGTGGGGGATGTGATGGCATACAAATACTACTGAAAACTAGCTATGTATATGTGTGGAAATATATATTTATATATAAATTCATATTTGTAATAATCGAAATACGTGATATTTGCAAGCATTTCCAAGTGCTTAGTTAGTAGAGCAGCAAAGCTTAGAAGAGAGCAGTTGAAGTGGTATAAGCATAAGCTTAAATATGTGCTTAAATATGTGTGCTTTCATATTTATAGGTAAATCATGACATAGCATAACAGAGCATGAAGGAAAAAGCATTAGCAGAAAGCTTATTAGTGGTTTTAGTTGCATTAGTAAAATGAAAGGGGATTTTAAGTAGAAATTACTTAAGGCAAGCAAACTCAATATGTATGTATATTTGTACATTTGCAAGTATATATGATATTTTATATTTATTTTTTATACTATCAAATCAAACTATATTTTACTTATGTATTGTAAATGCAAAAAAATATGATGACATTTAAAGAAAAGTGTTTGAAAAATTAATGTTGAACAAAAAAAAAAGTTCCTTTCAAACGAAATTGCATTTAAAATCTGTTTATATAATTATTGTAGATTTTGATTATTATTCGAATACGTCGTTTGAAAACTACCACGCATACATATTTTAATCAAATATTAACTCTATTTGAGTATAACTATAATTTCTCAAATACTTCAGTGAAAGCGAAGCTATGGAATTCAAAAGAATAGCACTTCATATATAAATTTTTAGAATATACATATTAAAATATATATAAATAAGGGAAATACTTTTAAAAAAAATAAACAAAAATAAAATAAAATTCATTAATAACAGATCTTAATTTGGAGTTTACTCAGAACAGTTAAAACTTTGCATGAAAATAGATTTTGATTACGAAAACTAAAGAAATTATTCCAAGACATTTTGTTAAAGAAATTGAAAGAGTACGAGATGCGTTCAAAAAGTATCGCGAATTTTGAATTTTCGCGGGTTACGGCGCAATCCGCCAAAAACGCCCGGATTTGTGGAAGAACAAAAATTGGCTTTTGCACCACGATAACGCCTCTGCTCACACATCGTTGTTTGTGCGCGACTTTTTTTTTGCCAAAAACAACACACTTATGATGCCGCAGCCACCGTATTCCCCAGATCTGGCCACCTGTCGCTCTTTCTTGCTCCCTAAACTGGGCCTCATGAAAAGACTACGTAACGCTAAGATTGACGACATTAAGACGGCATCGAAGGAGGAGCTGAACAAGATAAAAAAATTATTTTTTGAAATGCTTCGAAGATTGGAAAAACCGTTGGCACAATGGGGATTACTTTGAAGGGGACAAAATAGATATTCATGATAAATAAATAATTTTTGAAAAAACACGAAATTCGCGATATTTTTTGAACACACCTCGTAAAATCGTAAACCGGTAGTCTGGCAGTCTATATATTGCTTATATAGCAATTTAGGCTTATCAATTTTCTTTGCATTTTTAAGAGTTCTAGATACTCGGGTATCCATCAGCGCGAACGGCTCGATACTCGAACGATACTCGCTCATTACTTAACGGCTAAAATGTTTGTTTGAAATTTTAAAATTTTCAAATGTGTTTGTCAAAATTTTCTTTAGCATTTCGATGGGCTTTTCACATTCAAATTAATATTAGGTTTGTTATTGAGCTGCTCTAGGTTAGGTTAGGTGTAATTTCAAAAAATTGTGTTTCACGAAAACTCTTTTACTCTTATTTGCTCAACATTTTATTTTTATGTTTCACTCAAAATTTTTATCAAAAATATTAACACTCTTGCATAAAAAAATTTTCAGAGTTTTGCTTTATTTTCGTACTAACAATTTCAACTTTTAAAAAAAAAAATTTCAATTTTCTAAAATTAACAAAATATATTACAAAAAAATGCAAAACCTTTTAATGTGAACAAAAAAAAAATAAGAAAAAAGTCTTTGCATTGTATTTTCTGAAATCTAATGGACATAAAATTATTTTCACGCGGCTTAGCATTGTTTTATACAAAAATATATGAAATAATTTCAAAGTGGCAATGCCATGAAATTAAAATGAAAATAAGATATAATGTCAAATAATCGTTTACTATCAATTTTATATTGAGTGAAACTAACTTCCGTTTTTTGTAACACGGTCTGCTCTAAGTAGAATGAGAGCAACTCAGAGCACGATTTTCTGCTTTGATTTTTCGGTAGAGCAACTTGGAGCAAGCAATTTAAAGAGCAGCCGCTCGGCAGCTAGAGAGTCTCATTAGCTACGAGTGAAAACGATCATTTTATCTTTAAACGCGTTTTTCTCGAAACAGCATTTTCCGAATTTGCTGCAGTGGTTATTCAAAAACAAATGAACCGAACACTATCCAATTTTTTCTATATAAAGTTCTATAAATATAGTTCTCCGTACAATGACCTATCGATTTTTAATCTGAACAAAAACTCAAGTTCTGGCAGGTCAAAAACAACTAAAATTTTGAGTAAACTTCGACTCTTTTTTTTAACACGCTGCCATTTTGTCAATTTTTGATTTTTTTATCGTAGGTCATTGTACTGATAATATTATCTAGTAGATAAATTTTTTTAGATTTCATCCACGGAGGAGGCCGGAATAACTGCAGCAGTGAAGGACTATTTTTTCGCGCCGTTGGAGATCGACTATAACTTAAAAAATGTTTAATTTTTTCTTCAAAAATTTCACTGTATATTCTTGAAACATGTATAAATATATTCCTAAAATTTTGAAAGAATTGATAAAGTATTTTTTTTTAATAATAATTATACAAGTAATAATAGAAATTACTAATTTGTTTTAACAAATTAAAAAAAATTTAAAGGTTTTTATTTTTTTTTAAATAAAAATGTCAATGTACACAAAAATTGTTGCCTGCAAAATGTTTCATGAGCTTTTTGATCTGAGTTGCTCTAACTTGCTCTATTCTTTTTTTTTTTTTTTTTTTTTTTGCAGCTGCTCTGTTCTGCTCGAACTTGAGCTGCTCTACTCTATTTTCAGAGTCCCAATAAACAACAACTATTATAGAAAGAAGCTCTAATGAAGAGTATATGATCGAATTCTTAGAGAACGTGCTTGAAAATTTTCGAATAATGAACCAAATAAATGATAGAAAAAAAGGTTTTGTCTTAAAATTTTGTGCCTAATTTGTGCTGACCCTGATGAATCAGTTTATAAACTTTAAGATATGGAAACTCTTCAAATACGTAATATCAATGATTAAGCTTCTTAGAAACGAAAGTGAAAAAAGAAATAATTTGCATTGAACCAGATATTGGACGGCCTACGGCTCATACACAGTTCATCATAACCACGATAGTCTTCAAAGCGAAGAGTGGATTGACTTTAAAACAAAATTCGTCAAAAAGCATTTCAATCCTTAAGTTGAGCTTTAGATTCCCATCTCGACTAGTTTAAAGTAAATTTGGAAAATGTGAGTCCAGCGTAAAGGGAACGATTTTACTAAGATATTATTATTATTTTTGATAAGAATTGGCTTTCATTAATACTTATTTTTTAACACTAAACCTACCGAGACGGGTCAAATGACGTATTTTGAGGTTTCTGTTAGAAATCTGGAAAATACGATTATAATATCGCCATACGAGTTTTATTTAATTTTTTATATTTTAATTATTTTCAAGATCTACTCTTCATTTGCTATTTTTGTTACCCAGAAATATATGTAACTTGTCCTAGCTACCACAAGGGATCATTTGAGTCAAGGAAAGATTCAGGCTTTTTTTTTTGTATTTCAGAAACTTTTGCATCGGACATTTTTGTCATTGCGTTACATTCTTAGCGCGTGAGTCGTGTCAAGCTGTCATCTAATTTTTGTACAGTATTGTTCAACATTTCATCATGGAGCGACCTACACCTGAACAATGTTTACAAATCGTTCAGCTTTATTACGAAAGCTCAGGTTCCGTAAAGAATGTGTTTCGCGTGCTTTGCTCAGCTGATCGTCGACATAATCGGCCTACTGAGCGTATCACTCGCAGCACCATCAGCCATCTTGAGACGCAGCATTTATTATTGTATAATATTCCACCGAACAGACCACGTCTAGCATGCAGCGAAGAAAATATAGCGCCCGTAGCTGAGAGTGTACACGAAGACCGTGCAGAGTTGATTCGGCGCCGTTAGCAGCAATTCGGACTAACGTAAGGAACGACCACGACCTGGCGCATTTTACGTCGAGACCTTACATTGAAAGCGAACAAAATACAGCTTGTGCAAGAAGAGAACCCACTCGACCTACCCACTCGACCTACCAAAGCGATATCGCTGCGCTCTATGGACTCTTTAAAATTTCCAAGAAGATCCGATGCTTTCGTGCCTAATTTTGTGTAGTGAAGAGGCAAATTTCTTCTTTTTTTTCTTTAAAAAAGTAGGGAACTTCAGAATGGATCGCCCTTTACGTAGAGGATTGAGAGAAAAAAACAATTATCGAGTACAGAAAGTGAAATTTATTTAAAAGTGAGATGTACTGAACTTTCTGCCAAAGATAAGATTTGGCAAGAAATTTAATCAGGCTTTATACCTGATCGAGTTGAATTTATAATACTTTTCGGGAGGTTGTGAGCTTTAATGCCAAAGAAGAAGGAAACACAAAGAATTTTATCACCAAATTCAGGCTTGAATGCTCGCTCAACAGGAATGCCAAATAGGTTTTCGCTGAGAAAAATAATTACGAAATTATTTTCAAATGCAAGAATTATGTTTGGGGAAATTATATCTCAGTAGTTTGCCATATTTGCCGCGAATATGAATATTTATAAAAAAAAATTTTACTTATGTATAAAATTAGTGAAATTGATTAATGTTTTTTTTTTGCCAGCTAAGGTCGTAAATGATCCGCGGGAAGAGGAGTATATATGAAGTCTCGGGAGGTTTACTGGTAGAGATACCTACTTTGTATGCTATCATGTTGTTCTATAATTCAGTACACCCTAAAATGTAAGAATCACGCAGGAAAATTAAAAATAGATAATGAAATTTTATAATTCTACAAAATTATTCCGATTTTCCAAAAAAAAAAAAGAAAATTTCAAATAAAATTAAAAAAAAATTAAAATTAATTCCAAAATTAAATCACTGCAAACATGAAATGCTCGAGTATCTCTGTTGTGTGTAGAATATAAATATGACAGTAAAATGAGCAAGTCGTGTAAGCACGTAACGCATCCAAAACTCTTTAACAAATCCAACAAGCTGCAAGCGCTCCTCTTTCTTGGAGAAGTTGCAGAGGAAAAAAAGTTTAAAATACTTAAAATGCTGGAGAAAAAACTAACTTTCGAGGGTTCACCAAGGGCGCCAGCTGTGAGGTCGACCTGCAATGGTTGTATGTATGTAAAAAAGAGATTTCTACTTTTTACTAAATAAAACTTTTTCGTGAGCTACTTGAGGTGGGATACAATATAAAGTAAGGTGTTACTGTGAAAACAGGAAATAATTTAGAAAGAATAGTGTCAACAAATGCGGGAAAGAGTAGTTAAATAAATCGACTAAACTGTTTGTATGTCGCATTGTGGCTGCTAAAATGACTAATTTGTTTGTTTGTGATTTATTATTATTATTGTTTTTTTATTAAAAACTCTAAATTATTTCCTAACTACAGAAGTGTATAAAGAAACTTTTAAGTGTTTTAACTTTTGCTTGGATGTGACGACGCTTCGGTCGGTATATACTCGTATGTGAGACTTGGACCAACGTGGGAGGATGGATGTGCTGTGTAGTGATAGGCTTTTTAGTCTATTTGGAGTCGAAAAATTTGTATTTTTATTTAATAGCAGGTCAGGTGAAAAGTTCGTTCGGTTTTTATCTAAGAGATGGCGTTATTATCCATAGTACGAGTTTTACGTGTCGTATTATGACATACTTTACGGAGCTGAAAACGTATTTATTCGCGCTAAAAGTTTGTCTTTGACAGTTTTTCGATTGGGAGCGCACATTAAAGATGAACACCAGCGAAGAGAAAATTCTCTAAATTTTACAATTTTACTTCGATCAAGGCGAAAAAGCAGCCAAAGCGGCTGAAAAAATTAATTTAGTTTATGGGCCCGACACTGTAAACGAGCGGGTAGCACAAAAGTGGTTTGCTAAATTCCGTTCCGGTAATTTCGATGTCAAAGATGCACCAGGTTTTGTTGTGTGTTTGGTGGGATTGGCGAGGAATCATCTACTCCGAGCTGCTCCCCGATGGCCAAACGCTCTGCCAACAACTGAACCGCTTGAAGGCAGCACTCATAGAGAAGAGGCCATCTTTGATCAACACACGCCGAATTGTGTTCCATCAGATGTATGTGACATCTTTGGTGAGACGTCAGAAGCTCAGATGGGAGGTCCTAATATACCCATCTTTTAGTCCAGACCTAGCACCAAGTGATTACCATATTTTCCTGTCCATGGCGAACGCGCTTAATGGTGAGAAGTTGGCTTCAAGAGAGACCTGTGAAAATTGGCTTTCCGAGTTTATCGCCTTCTACGCGAGCAGTATAATGAAGTTGACATCTCGTTGGCAACATGTTTACAAACAAAACGGCGCATACTTGACTTAAACGGACAAATGTACACAAAATTATCATATTTTGAAAAAAGCAATAAAAAAAATAGCGAACGAACTTTTTACTTGACCTAATATTTTTCACTAAATCATTAAAAAAAAGGTTTGGTGAACATATTTGAAAACCGCAAATACATAATTAAATGTTTTTATGAAATCTGTTTTTTTTAATCTTTCTGCAATTTAATGATTTTTCTCATGAATTAAATATTTCCTAGCAAAGTTCAAATATTTCTCTCTACAAATTAGACTGAAAACCAGTTTTGCTTTCGGGCAGTTATTCCTTGAAGCCGAACAACCATCAAACGCGTAGCACGCTCTCATCTATTGCAACAAAATTTTGTTGAGATCCACAAACCGTTATTGAGAGGCCTTATATCGTCAAAAAGTCAATATTTGGTGTACTCTACTATAGAGAATCATCGATTCATAAATATTTCATTTAAAAATGAGGCCAGCCATACTGTTGTAGCCAATGGGGAACGCTATAGAGACATGATTAATGACTTTTTCATGCCTGGATTGGAGGATGTTTGTGTGACCGATCTCTGATTCCAACAAGACCTTGTTACACGCTTGCTACGCAGCCAGCAAAGCAATCAATTTAGAGAAGAAAACTTTTGGTGAACGCATTATCTCGCCTCGTAGGCCTATGGCGTAGCCTCCAAGATCATGATTCTTCTCTTTATAATAAAGCTAAGTCTTTCTTTCAAATTTTAAAACGATCGGCAATAATGGAGACGAGAACACGCAAGTAAGCTGAGGAAAGGTCAGACTCAATAATACCGCCAACGCAAACAGAAATTCGTCATGTGCTTCTATTTCAGTTTGGGCTTAATTTGCAGTCAATAAAAATATTCATTGAATGCCATATTGTATATGAAACGATTGCACCGTCTTTAAATAGCAATTCTGAGTGGTTTCGAAGATTCCAGATCCGATTCTTTTCCGTAGAGGTCGAGTCTCGGGAAAATCTGATGATGTCACGGTAGCTCTGTTGAAGTCCAAGATTGACGAAGACCCACGAAATGATTGCTAATGAATTGGACTTGAATGCCATGGATGTATTGCGAATATTAAGTAATCATCTGGGGCACACGAATAAATCGATGGGTACTACGAATTTTAACTGAGGCCCAAAAAGAGGCTCGAGTGAATTTTGCTCAATTTTTCCCAAACAAATTCGAAAATATTCAGTCAAGCAACTGTGGTAAAGTCGTTACTGATGACGGATCTCGGTTCTATAAGTACAATCCAGAAACCGAGCAGCAGTCCATGGTTGAAAAAATCGTATTTATGATTTGATTTACTTGAAATTTGCTACAAAGGTGGGTTTTTTTTTAATCACCGAGAGACGGACTAGAGTTCGACGTTTTCGAAAATTATTTGTTTCTACTTGATCTATTGAAGAAAAACATATATATTCATTGTTCGCTTTGGTTAAATTTTTGTATGATATGCTTAAACGGAATGCTTTTGTTTCCTGGCAATGGACCACAGACCTAAGACCAAGTTCGATTTGCTCGAAATATTAGATAAGATCGTGTTTAGCATCTTTATTGATTCTTCAGACTGCAGGCTCGACTTGAGTATGAATAAGCCTAGTTCCCAATGGTGCTTTTGAGTTACGCCGAGACATTCATATTGACATTTTCCTGAAAGACTTTCAGTAGCGAAGTAGACGTGATCCATACATACAGATAGTATAATAAAAAAACCTCATATTTTAACTTAGATGATGTTTAATTATGTGCTCTCTATTGTTCTTTGCAACGACAATAAGAATAAAAACTGGACAAAATATCAAAAGGCACAGTAGATTGTGGCCGGGTCTGCTAGCTTTTTTTTATTTAATTTTTTAGTTTTTGGTGAGAGAAAATCAATATTTCGACTGACGAGCCTAATCCGAAGTATGTATATATGCATGATTGTATAGTATAAATAAACGAATTAAATTGTATTTGCGCCAACTGTTGGTGTAAAATAGTTGAATTGTATAGTTTTGAAAAAAAAAAAAAAATTTTACGGTATTTTTCTTATATACTAAATATTTTTATGTACATTGTATGCAAGTTTCCCACGCCATTTGAATGAAAATGTCGTATAAATATTTACTTATTCATTTAAAAAAAAAAATAGTAAGAAAAAGTTTTGCATTACTAACTGTATATATGTATATATGCATGTATTAACACATGTGAGCACCTGTTAAGAACTAATTATGTATATGAATATGTATTGTTTCTGTGCTGTTTTCTGTTCATTACAACAACCAAACAAACCAAAAAAAAAAAGAAGACAACTTTACTCACTTTTCCATTTTCTTGTACTTTGGTATCGCGCAGAGAGTAAGTATCCGCCAAAAGTGCCTGCAAAGGTTCAGTTTCGAATTCATGCGTTGAATCATCAATCAATCAATCAATCAATTTGTGCCATTTTACAAGAGCAGACATTTTGTATGTACGAGTACGTGTTTGTTGACAGACAAGACAGAGGCAGAAACAGAGATGGCATACATAAGTATAGAGAAGGTGTATGACATAATCGGTTTTGTAAAATATATACATATATATATCTGTAGATTGTTTTAAGCTTTGTAAAATAAACAAAAAATATTGTTTTCTGGAAATTTGTTATTTCTATTTTTTTTACATTTTTCTTTTTTGAGCTAAAAGAGGATGATTAATATATTTATAAACATATATATGTCGGTGTGTGTGTAAGTTGGTTCGTATGAATTTTTTTTTTTTTTTTTCATTATATTGCTAATAATATAAATCTATTTTTATTGTATAAATGTGTATGAATATACAAAGGAAAATATATATATATTTATGTACTTCAATTAGATCAGAAAAAATAAATAAAATATTTGCGACAGTTACCAATTATTGACGTTATGCACTGTCCTACGTATAAACAGCAAAATCAAATAAACTAATAAAATAAAATTTATTAAAAATATATATGTGGTTAATATTAATTTTACGTCTACATCTCCTTTCAAGTTCTAAAAATAAGCTATGCACTACGTAACCAGTAAAACTGGTACTACACTGCGTATACGTTATCGAAATGTGAGTATAAAATGGATTTTAGCAAGCGATCAATCGAATCAACAAAATTTTGTATCGAAAGACTACACAAGCGAAATCGACTGTTTAAGTCTTACCTAGAGAGTACGTACATATTGAGACTGAGTATTTCAAAACTTTAGCAATGTAGGTAGGAATGTGACGTGGTTGCCGATATTGTGATACCACGAAAAAAAATTGCCACGACTCTATGGCTCCATTTCCAACAATCTAGCCTATTTTAGGATTTTTCCAAGATAGCTTACTTTACTTTTTGTCACACGGTAGAGGCAATTCAACGTCTATTTTGTGACTTTGTGGAACATCATTTTTATTTCCTTGCCATTCTTGCAGCTCTTACAGTAACTCTGAAAGTGATCCCTAGATTTAATGCATGCATGAGGCATCAAGGTCTCAATAACTTTTGAAATGCCCTCATTTTTCTGAGTATATAAGCAAACTGGGGATAGACCGCAATGTTCAGTTAACTACTGAAAAAAATCTGCGACACTCATCATTACTATTGAAGAGCTTGTCGTGATCGCACTTAGCGACTTACTGCTGCCAAACTAGCAGAAAAGATCAAGAGGTCTCTTTTTGATTAATTATTTTAAATGTTAAAATGATAACGTGTATTCCAGGTTGGAGCACACTTCAATGAGCCAGGAGCTTCAATTAAGAGTTTATGCAGAAAAACTCACAACCACATCTCATTCTGCCATCAAATTTTGGACCACCAGGGCGTGTATACTGCACCGCTTCCGGACATAAATCGTGGTTAGTGTGAACTTGAAATTTTCAATTGGTGCATTATGAACTGCCGTGCCGCAGTGGAAAGCAAACATACTACCTACTTCGCAACTCTGCGATCGACCACAACAGGTACGCTGTGAAATAGGTACTAAGAGCTCAAGAGGTAAGCAAGCATTTGCAGGAAAAAAAGAAAGAGACCAAAAGGCATGAGTATGACAAGCAAGGCTAATGCTCGAAAGTCCTATGAAAACATGCGGCGATTTACAGAAAGTTTAAAGACCCAAGAGATGAGCTAGCGGCTGATGCCCAAAGTATACTCAATTTATGGTGGGAAGACTTTTCCAATGTACTGAGCAATCACTACGAACACCAGGAGATAGCGAACCCAATTCCCTAATCGATGGCAATGCAACAAATGTTTTGCTTTAAGAACAATAAAGCGGCCAAAGCTTGAGCAAACTCGTCAGTGGTAATGACGGTTAGGTACCTTTAGCCGAACTAAGATTATGATAACTATAACTTTATAAAATCCCGGTGTTCGATATCAATTTGATACACTTATGGGCAAAGCTAATTCCATTATTTTTTGCACATTAACAGACATCGGCTACGATGGCTGAAAAGACCTGGGGAGGGAGCTGAGAGCACTTGGTATTTCCAACTTGTGCCAGACGGCGAAGATAAGGGACGAATAGCGCGTTGTTGTTTGCTCGACTTACATAAATGAACTAGTATTTAACTAATAATGCGTAGTCGGATGATTGACGTACCGTTAAGCATTTTCGTGTTAACATACCAACTGATAAGAGAGAAAAAGATCTGAACTTAAGGCACTCTTGTTAACGAGTAATATTTTTGGCTGCAAAACACTCTAGAAAACCCTCTGTAAATTATTGTTACATATAAGTCGAAAATTCAAAATATGAGAGATAAAAAACGAAATGAAAATATTTTTCCGCCAAACTAAACTCGAAATAATTAATAAAAAATAATTTTATTTATTCTTAAAGTATTTTTGAAATCCTATTTTTTGAAAAATAATTCTATTTCTATTTTTTATTGTTAAGAACTAAATATACATTTCTTTAATAATATAATATTATCAGGCCACCACAAAAAATACAACAAATATAACAAAAATTTTATGGCAAATACCAGTATGCTGTCATATTTCCTAGATAGCAATGAGCCGCTGATGAAAATCCAACCCAAGTCATACACCAAGCAATCAACCCACCCTACACAGGCACCCATACGCACTTCAATATGTATGTATGTAGCGGTTGTTTTTTAACTTACATGTGTTGAATGAGATGTTAAACTATTATACGATGGTGAAGTCTTTTCAATTTGTATAAGTTTGCACTAAATTATGTGAATATATATTTATCAAGGAGTTAGAGCACAAAGAGAGAGATAGAGAGAGAGAGAGTGGGAGATACGTGTAGAGAGTATGAAAGAAAAAGATGGTATAATAAAATTCTATTAAATTTTTACAATTGATAAATGTAGTTTTTGTAAAATTTACTGCTAAAAATACCACCAATACCACAATGCCATAAAATTATAGTAAAAACCATCTGGGGCTTACTAGAGGACGACCGAGAGGCATTTTGATTTTTTCGAACCGAAACGAAGCCGAAATGGGAAGTTCTTAGGTTAGAAAGATAGGATTCTAAAGAAACATTTCTTAATTGGCATAGATTTTAGTTAATATTATTTGAGATTAAACTATAAAATATTTTTCGGTAGAACGATTTGTATATTAGAAAAAAATCAAAAAGTTAATAAATAATGCAGATAAACCGTAAATTATTGCTAATAAAGTTATCAAAAAATATTATTATTAAAAATAAAATAATATTTTCGCATTTTAAAAATATTAATATTAAATTATGCAAAAGCAAGACTTTCTTCCATGACCTAAGAACAACTGAAGCTGAACCTTGCGAAGCCGGTCGTTCTCTAGATGTTGTGTGGGTTATTATTATAAGTTTTGCTTTGAAGCTAAGACTTTACTAAAATTTAATACAAACATACATTAAATATTTCACAAGCACCTGAAAACATACGAGGGGTGCCTTTTATAGTTCGGGATTCGGCAATCTTGGTATTGCAATCTGGCGACTGACAACTTTATAGCAAACTTTGACATTTGAGATGTTATATGAGAACAAACTCAGCACGTTTTGACATACGAGCGTTAGCTGTGTAGTTTATAGTAATTTGAAATATTTAAAATTAAATTAAAAAATTGAATTAAAACACGAACATTTCTGCCTGAATAATTCTTACAACTTTCGACGTAGATTAACTCAGCAGCATTTCATACATGAACTTAATTCTACTTTTGACGATGAAGTTCCATCACGGACTTGTATTTATCGATAATCGAGGGATATTTATTGATTGAAGATCGGCATGTAATCCACCGTGAGATTGAGATAACAATAAGCATTAGTGGGATCAGCATATATTAAATTTTGCAGTAACATTTGACAGTAATAAAAAAATGGTTTGAGTTGGATTCCACAAAATTTGTCGATCTCTTAAAAAAAAAATTTCGTGTTGATTGGTCGAGAGAAATGTTAATATACGAGAATAGCGGTTCTTCAAAACATGTCGAGGACAATGTAACAGGTGATAAATCGTGGACTTAAGCGCATGTGCCCGAAGGTAAACAGCAGTCAACTGTATGGGTGTCTCAGAATGAGCCGAGTCTAACAAAAGTTGCCTGCATTCGTAAAACTGAACATGGCGCAACTTTACTAGTAGAATAGTAAATTCTGACTTTTTGCCTGTTGTCTCTCAAGAAATAAGCAAAGTCAATCGAGAAACACGCATCAATCTGCCCCACAGCAATTCGATCTCACACATAGACTCAAATGACTGAGTTTTGCAAAACTTAAACCACCATACAAACCTCACTTGGCAATGAATTAGTTCTTTATATGCCCGTGCGTAAAAATAAAACTGAGACGTCAACATTTTTCGGCACTTGAAGAGGCAGGACTTCAATCAGAGTGGCAAAAGTGCTTCGACAATTTGTTTAAACGATTTTCGGTGTTTAATATTTGTTTTTGTTCTCCAATCCCGAAATATAAAAGGCAGCCCTCGTAGATATATTGCGAAAATATTACAGCAGATAAATACATAAAACACAACAAAAAAAGGCCGACTAACTTCAAGTGGAACCGAACATTAGATACTCGGTTGTTCTAGATCTGACTTTCACCGAGCAACTAAAGTTTAGTTATGTAGACTTGTCTGTGGACCCATATGAGCATTTATGGACAAATAATTGGAAATCAAAAATAATTAGTTATGTCAAGTTTTTTCCATAAGTTCCTACAGTTACTTACAGTTTATCCCCGAGCAACTAATGGTTTGTTTTTATGAAGAGCTTTTATTTGTTGTTGGAAGTACTTTAGAAGGGCTTGAAATTGCCTGTAGAAAGATGACCGCGATTCGAAAAATAAAATTCCTATCATTTTAGGTGCTTTCTCAGAACTCGAACTCGCGGCTTCCCATTGATAACCTGCCCTGTAAGCCACTCGCTTATTGCGGTCGCCTTACGATAATTAGCTTAATTTCACGTTTATTACGATTCAAACCGGCAAAAGTATTATTTATTTCTTTAGAAAATTATAATCGAAGAGTTCTATATTATGCTACGTGAGCACATTAAAAATCCTTTCTAGTATTACAATTAAGATGAAAACGAGTTTTCATCGATCCATCAGACCTCTCTTTGCAAAAGTTCTATGAAAATATATACAGCTTTGTCTGAAAACAGTCTTTCTTACGAACATTTCAACTAAAAATCAAACAAACGACTGCACTGTAATCAACTCACAACTTAAAACTTACAAAACTTCGGAAAATATAGAGCTTAAAGTTTTCACTCATGCTTATGATTCAAAATGAGCTTTCACTTAAATCAGAAAATAAGCTAAAATATAATTGAGATTATTTGTTAGCTTAAAGCTGTCACTCATGGTTATTATGTAAAATGAGCTTTCGCTTAAATCAGAAAATTAGCTGAATTATAAAAGGGATTCTATTTTTCTTGAATGAAAGCTACATGCTATTAAGAATGAAAAGCTTTTGGCTGAATGAGCTTATACTTCAATAGCAAATGTTTTGAACACATCAGCTTTGAGAGACATTTTTAAAATCAAAAATTCTATATTTCATCAATTATTCAATACAAAAATTATTTATTCTATGGCACAAAAAAAATTAAAATTTAATTTTCTGTTTACTTTTGTTTAGTACTATTAGTATGAATTTATATTTTGTTATGGAATTTTAATGTAAGTTTATGGAGAAAGTGAACAGAAAAAATTAAATTTTAAATATTTTATATACGTACAAACGGAAAACAAAAAATAAATAAAATTTACATGTGACAACGGCACAAACAGACAAGACAAGGAGTACGTACGACTAGACATGACATGAGTAATTTAAAAAATTGGAATAATTTACATAAATATATGTTGTTAAGCACATACATTCATTGACATTAGTAAATACACATGTTATAGATACTAGGCAAATAAATATAATCACATCTACGTATATATATGTATATATATAGTCACAGACGAATGGATTTTAGGTATCAGACATATCTATTTATATATATATACGTATATTCTTTTCGAAAATCGACTACGACGATAAATCAATTTATGTAAATTTCGATACTAAATACAGTAAATAAAATGTTCACACATACACAACTATAAGGTAAAAAAAAGTAAAATAAGTCGGCTTAGGAGATTGGCATATACACACATAGTATTATGTACACTTAAAGTACATACAAATATTAGTATGTATGTAAAGCAATAAGATGTTAGGTTGAAATGTAGTAGATATATTACAACAATAATATAGGGGGTAAATTTTTCGGGATACATATGTACACTTTAATCAGCAGTAAGTTAGATAACATTCGAGCTAAATGTTTATACGTATGTAGGTTAGAAGAAATATAGTGACATTTATAGATTTTCACACATATAGATTTTTAAAGATTTACTTTCAAATTTTTGTTTTTATTTTTCACACTATAACAACAGTTACATTTAATGCTCGAATAACAGTTAGAATTTTTGTTTATCAAGATTTACTACCTTGTCTGGATTGTTATTACTGCTCATCCTACATTTGAACGAAATGGACCGTTTTGCTTTTGTTAACGCATTCTAGTAAACGTATGTTTGTAGTTTCGTAGTAAAAGTATTGGAAATAGGTAGTAGAAGCGGTAGTAGAGTTGGTTAAGGTAGTGGTGATCATTGAAAGTATTTACATTTTTATTATTTTTTTAATTTTATAAATTTTTGAATTAAATATTTCATTTCAGTTTCATTTTGTTTTAATAATTGTTTGAATATAATTAAATTTTTTTTTTTAATATTAATTAATTTTTTTTCAATTTTGATTATTTTTTAATTTTTAGTTAATTTTGATTTCATTCAATTTAATTCAGTTAATTTTATTTTTATTTAATTAATTTAATGTAATAAATTTATTGTTTAATTTTATTTCATTTTTTTATTTTCATTATGATTTTTATTTATTTTCGTTTTAATTATTTTTATATTATTTTTTTTCGTTTTATATCAATTTATTTCATTTCACATTATTGCATTTCATTTTAAATAAATTAAATAATTTTTTTTATTTTATATTTTTTATTTTTTTTTTATAGAATTTTTCATTTTTTTAATTAATTTATTATATTATTTAATTTATTAATCATTTTCATTTAAAATTTTTTTTCCAATTTAAGTTTATTTTATTATATTTGGGTTTATTTTTAATTAATTTTTTTGTTTTATTTAATTAAATTTATAATGATTTCATTTTAGTAAATTTTTTTCATTGCAATATTAAAGTTAACCCAGTTAATTTTAATTATATTTTTTATTTATATTATTTTATATAAATTTATTTAATTTTAATATTGTTTCAATTTTTTAATTTAATTTAATTTGGATCAAAGTTTTTTAATTTATTATAGTTTATTTCATTTTACGTATTTTTATTATATATTATTATAAATTTAATTCATTTTCATTTAATTTTTGATTTGAATTTATTTAGTTTATTTTTTATATAATTTTTTAAATTCCATTACATTTAATGTTTTTTTTTATTTCATTTCGTTTTTTATTTATTTAGTTTTTTAATGTTATTTTTGTTAATTTTAATGAATCAATTTTTTTTTTAAATTATTTTGTTTTGTTTAAGTATTTAATTTTTATTTTTCATTTAAATTAATTTTATTAGGATTAAATTTAGTTCATTCAGTTTTATGTAAGTTTATATAAATTTAATTAATTTTATTAAATTAATTGGTTTTAATTGATTCATTTTATATTTTGATGTCATTAATGTTTTTTTTTTAATTTTAATATCATTTTTATAATTCCATTTAGTTTAATTTATTTGAATATAATTTGATTCATTTTTTTATTTTTTATTTAATTTTAATTAATTTAGAGTAAATTTAATTCATTTAAATTTATGAAAATTTATTTAATTTATATTTTTATTTTGATTTGTTTTAGTTTATTAATTTAAATTTATTTCAATTTTTATTTCATTATTATATATTTTTTATTTCAATATTATATTTTTAGGTTGTTTGAAAATTATTTCAATTTATTTTAATCATTATTTTAATTAATTAATATTTAATAATTTTATATAAATTAAATTTTGTTTAAATTGATGTCATTTTATGTTGATTTATTTAATATTATTATAATTTTAATTTTATATTATTTTCAGTTTTATTTTAATTTGAATAGATTTAATTATATTTTAATTTTTTTTTATGTATATGTATTTAATATTTTTTTTATTAAAATTTATTAATTTTTTTTATTTGTTTTTATGTTTTGTATAAATATTTTTTTGTTTTTTTATTTATTTTTGGTTTTATATTTTAAATTATTTTATTTGTTTTTGGTTTTTCATTTAAAGTTTATTTCATTTATTTAATTTGTTTTATTATATAATTATTGTTTAATTTTATTTTGTGTGCCAATTGATATAATTTAATTTTATTTAATTTTTAAATTTAATTTGATTTATATTATTTTTTTTTAATATGATAATATTTTTAATTTAATTAAGTTTATTTTATTTTATTAATTTTTGATTTCAGTTAATTAAATTTTATTTTATTTTAATTAAATTATTAAATATGTAAGTTTTTTTTATTTTTTTTAACATAATTTTTTTACGGTTGTAATGAGTTTATAATTTATTTATTTAATTTTTTTAAGTTTAAGTTTTTAGTTTTTTTTTTTTGTAGTAGAATTCGTTACAATAGTAGGGCAGTAGGAGTAATTTTAACAGCAACGCAGCAGCAATATAAATACAATAAATACATATTTTAAAAATTTTGTAAAAATAAATTTAAGTTTAGTTATCAATTACAGAAGCATTCTAAACAATAAAAATTAGTATAAATAAAACAATTAAATTAAATTTAACGTTAAATTAAGATATGGGTATAAATGTGGTAAGCATTTTGTATTATATATTATATATTATATATCTGTTATGTTAATTTATATTACAGTAGATATCAATTATTTATTTTCCTTTAAGGTGAACATTAAATTCTAGTAAGAGATTTGTAAAGGAAACCCGTACGCATTAGATATTTCATAGTAACAAATGAGTATTAAACTAGTATTTTGCAACGTCGAAAATACTTAAGATATTTGTAAGGTAAACGACAACGAAATAAATCAACAATATATTTAAAAGTATATTTATACACAACTTAATACGCTTTAAAAGTTCAGAAATTCAACTCATTTTTTGGTAGTTCATTAAATGCGGTAAGAAGTTAACGTTACTTTATAGTAAGAGAATTTAAACAAAAAGGAAGTAACAAAACTTTTTTCTTTAGTGAAATATTTAAACCTTCATACATACCTCAGCGTCAGGTTGGGAGCGATCCGAATCATCATTGTCCAAATTTTGATTCTCCAAATGCTCCTCTTCGGTTTGTGGCATTTGTTGTAGCTCTTCCTTGGACTTAAAATCCAAGTGTCTAATATAAAAAGGTATCAAAAGACCTAAGATAACCTGAAAGTAGAGAAACAGAAGTACTTAATGGAGGGCCAGAAAAGAGATGTGTATCAACATGATCTTGGTTATGTTATAGTTGGTCCCGGAATGCATGAACAGTGCCTCAAGTACCTTGAGGCTATCAGCAGAGGTATTGGTGAACACTCCCAAACGAGTAAGGTCTTAGAGCCATCATTTGCTGAGGTGGCAAAAGATAGCTATCTTCAAGAAACAATTGAAGACAAGCAGGTGATCAAAGCAGAATCGGAGCCGCTTTCCAAGCCTGGAATCAGTCCAAGATTCCAACAGGTCGTGGGTATGTGATAGCGAGAGGTTGACAACGCTTTATAAAATAGCCGTAGACGAGGTATACATTGGAGTTGCACTCAGACCACAGTCTGGTTTTCTGTAAAGCATAAGGTGCCTGATCAAACAGAATAAGTGATAAGGCTTTTCAACCCAGACCAAGCATCCAAAACCAAATACTAACACGACGCGTTAAACAGTGCTAAAAAGAAAAATAAAAATTTATCATCGACTCGGTTACGGTCATGGTCTCAACGCGGCACAGAACTTGGAAACAGAAGAAGTCCACAGAGAGGATGAAGTTGAGCAGGCGTTGTCGTTAGACAATCTTTTGGATAGCTACACTTCAACGACTTCCGCATTAGATCTTCATATCACCGTTAAATAATATACCGAGAAGGAACAGATGTCGGACAAACAAGACGTGCGTGTGGACTTCAAGATGGTCAGGTTTTTCAAAATAAATCTGTACCCAGCGAAGTAGCCTGATGACTTTTGGTGCAGCAGTCATAGCCTACATCTAGGAATCCTTTGTTATCAGGTATAAGCCGGTAGACTGAAATTCGACAGCGACAAGTCAAGAGCATGCATCATTTTAGTTTTTTTTTTTGTTTTGAGCTTAAAATAGAAGCATTGTGCTGCAAACTGGCGGTGTGGAATGGACAGACTAGCGTCGGGTACGAGGCATATCGAAAACTCTGTCGCATTCTGTTTCTAAACCACAACCACTGCTTTATCATATCTCCAGAATAGGTCAGAGAAAGCTCTGAGGGCTCTTGTTCCCCAAAGTACAAGACTACAGTCTCTGGTCAAACCTCGTATCCGAAGCTTTTAACAGTTGAGCTTCCATACAGCACGGCACGATAGGCTTCCCTTGCCGTGGGTGTATTTAATAACCCCGCGGGAGAGCTCACAAGGGCAGCAGTTACAATTAGCTTTAAAATAGAGGAACTAAACTTTAGGTTATGAAACACATGAAACGATAATGCCGAAGACCTGTAGTAAAGATAGTACAGGATACTGAGGTCTCAATAGTTCTTGCAGCAAGTTTAGCAGACACCAATGAAAGAGATATTGCCAAACGTTGCTTCTTTGAACTGAGTAGGCGACTGAACAGTAAATTCTTTTCTTGAAAGGACCAAAACCAAACTCTACAAGTCGCTCGCCCTGCCGTATGGTACAGAAGCGTTGAAGATGTCGACAATCAATAAGTAGGTCCTGTAAGTCTTCCAGAAAAATGGCTTGCGAACAATGGGCCTTTCAACGACATATACCGCAGACGATAGAACGACGAGAGAAACTTAAAAAACGTCAAACTATTTAAAGAAAAATAATAAAAACAATTTTGTCTTTTTCGAGTTTTTTTCGATTTGTTTTCAAGCAACAGCCAAGGACTAAATTACAAATATATATATATGTATATATATTCTACAAATTCACCTTAATGTTTGTATTTTTCCGAGTACGTAAGCCGCCCATCCACAAATCGGCCAATATCACTTGGCTGCTGGGATGCGCCAAGAGTGCACGATGATTGGCGGCCACCGCCAGGGAAAGGCAACTTTGGTTCGACCATGAGTGCAATTCACATGTGAGCAGCCGTTGAGCCTTCTCCGCATCTGTGCGATAGCTGAAATCCAATAACTTGATGCCTGGAAGACAAAAAAAAAAGTAAGAAACATTTAATAAAAAATTTAAAAATAAAAAAATTCTAAATTTAGAGATGTCAACAAATTCAAGTAGATTTCATTTCAATTGAGTAAATCTCTTGTTGTTGCTAGAGGATGAGTCAATCAATTTAAATCTTCAAATGTAAGCACTCAGTGGAGACAACGCACTGAGGGATGTACTATAATAGCTCAAGTTCAAGCCTCTAATGGCTTTAGAATATCACAAATTCACACATATTGACCCACACATACATACATAAATACATACATACATACATACATACATACATACCTTTACTTTCGAATTCCTTGGCATAAGCACGCAATTCATCATAGATTTCCGTATCTAAATCATCCTCAGCCGCCTCGTGTGCCATGGCCTTGTAGAGCTTACAGGCGACCAATGACTTAGCCAACGCCTCCTCGCCGTGCGTCCACATGAGCAAAGCCATTTGTTGACGTTTCGTGAGCACAGCCCAAATCTGAAAGAAGAAATTCCAATAGTATTTGTGCGGCTAAAAGCATATTGTGGACATAACATATACACATACAAACGAGCATATCGCTATGAAAGAGAAGCTTTACAAATTGGCGTAAAGTGCAAATGGTTTCGGTGACGCAAATATATAAATGCATACATACATACCTACCTATATATTTACTATACAATCATCTACTTAATTTATGATGCTTGAAATTATTACCGTTATAGAATTTCTTCAACGAAATTTTACGCACTTAAGCCATTTGTATGTGCGCTCTGCTATGTGCTCCCATCAGCGCTATTTCTTTATAAAATACTTACCAACAACTCGTTGAAGGGAAATTCGAAAAGTGCCATTTCCGTTGTGAATGGCAGCAATCCGGTGACCAAGCTCAATGAATTTGCGCCGGCATAACGTTGATATGTTGAGGATTTTCGGTGTGCATTGGCGTAGCTGTTCATCACTTTGGCGTAGATCGGACGAAATTTTCGGCGTGTATAATACGAGCTGGAATGTGGGCAACGAAATTGTGGGAAGAGAAATGAGTAGAACATTTATTTATATTTTTAGTAGAATTTTGCGCGAAATATTTGCAATAATTACTATAAGTAATATTGAAGATAAATTGAATTTATTTTTGGTTTTCGCTGAAACAGCGTCTTGAATAGTCTCTTAGAGCAAAGCCAAAAACTCAGCTGTAGACACAAGAGCAAATCGTTCTTTGTATATTTTTGAATAAAATTTTTTCTTTATTCAAAATGAAAATTAATTAAGTATTGGGGGTTCAAACTAACTCGGTCGGTCTTCTTTTAGTGTTCAACAAAGTGTTTTTATTGACAAAAAAAAAAAAATGCTGTTCATCGGCAGCGAAAGGTTTTTCCCACCCCTCTCTCTGATAATTTTTGAATATCAACTCTAAAAAAAGAGGTCTCTCTCCTCAGTCTTCGATATCTTCAAAAGAACGCTACCGGTGACACCTGCAGCCATTGAAAAAAACCCGTAGTTGGAAGTAGCAAGGCTTCAGTGCTTCGATTTTAACCGTGGATATTCCTCTTTAGCTTCGATGTGGTACGTATTCCCTAGGCTTCCAATATTATTTGTTCTCCTTGGGCTTATCGTAGTATATCCACTTTTTATATCCAGTCGCAATTGGGTGCAAAAGTTGCTTCGTTCGGTATCTTTCAAGAAGTACCTCCGAAGTAAAATTCCCCTCCCGACATTTTTCGGCTGCACTCATACGTCAGTTTTCGTATGAATCCAAAATGTTTTAACTGAACGGAAATTGTTTGGTAAGTCACTAGGAATGATTCAGTTTGAACTTTGCGTAGTTTTAAATACAACGAAGCCTCCAATTATTCATCTTGCTTTGGTCAAGATGCTCTTTGTCTTTGACTCTAAAATACCGCTTTTGAAGCGTCGATGGCACGATGAGCTGTGCGAGATATACGACAACATTGCTATAGACAGCGGCTGCGTTGGCATGGTCACCTCGTCCTTACAGATGAAAGCGCTGCAACTCAGAAAGTATTCGCTGCAGTGCACGGCGCTGGAAACAGAGGAAGAGGACGAAATCTAGATTTTTTTGCTGGCGCCAGAGAATACCAACCCCTCCGAGTGTATGTATTTCTGACATGGAAAAGGCTTCTCGTAAAAAAAACATCAGCCGTTCGGGGGCGGCTTAGTATAAACAGTAGAGGGATCCTCTATTTGTTGGAAAAACATCAAGACGCAAAAACGCAAATTGGTGGAGGACCTCTGCCGAAAAATCGCTTCAGCGGTTACAAAGCGCCAATTATAATAATATTTATTATTTTATTTTATATTTATTTATATCAAATATAGCTTACAACATAAATCTTCTAAGCTATTAGTTCGGGTGAATATTTATTATTATTTTTATCTTTATTAGTCAGCGATCCACAAACGATCTTAACCATATAACTTGAGCTAAAAACTTGGCATTACATACACGATACTGTAATACATATGTATCGTGTTTAAACTGTTGCTCCCGTATAAGGCACAAATGGCAACAAATACAAAAAGACAAAGAAAGAAGAGACAAAAATAATAGCTCTCCAGCGATAACAACACACAGTAAACTCTCGTCCTCACAAAGAGGGCGAAGCACAGACAAAAAATGGTACGTTTAAAGCACAATGAATCATAAAAAGGGTCAGCATGCTCAGCAAACACACCATACCGTTAAACGCAGCTGGCCTGAAAAAGTAGTAACAGACAAAATCAACAAATGATTTGTGTTTCTTATTTATCTTTTTTGCAAGATTTATCTGCAATTCCGAGTATTTGTTTAAGACTTTATTGAGCGTTATCCTGGTGTTTCTGATTTTTATTTCTTTTATTTTTATTTTTTTTTTTGTATTTGCGAAAGAGAGCTTTATTGGGCAATTCTTAATTACCAGCAAACGGTTGAAAGTATTGAAGAAGCAGATTTAAATATTTATTCGCCGCACCACACATTTGTGTAAATATGTAAAATAGTTGTTTGTTTAATGTAAACACACACATGTACAGTCGGCGTCATGTTGATAAGAACGGTTGTAGAGTAGTTTGGAGCAGGATATTGTGAATCATTTTCGATTTCGCCCGATAATGGAAGGCATCATCATGTAGGCACAAAGCAAACACGAATTGAATTCCCGAGCAAAAGCACCATTTGACCAAAACGCTGACTTCAAAAGTACAGGTTGCTCCACCTTCTATGTCGGTATGTTCAGATATGTTTTGGAAACGTCAATTCAGTATAGTTTTTGGCATGGATTGCATCACACCGAAACAACGTAATGTAATAGTGACACTTTACATCGAAAACAGTCGTTCATTTGTGTTAGGCGACATTGACTGGCCACCTACATCACCTGATTAAACCCCGCGGACTTCTTTTTGTGGGGGTATCTGAAGAGCAAGGTTTACGCCAACCACCCTCAAACTATTGATGAGCTCAAGGCAAACATTCGTGTTGAAATCGACGCTATAACACCAAAGATGATCGGAAAGGTAATAACAAACGCAGAAAAAAGTAGTCCATTATGTAATTGCTAATAAAGGTAGCCACTAGATTGATATTGTTTTCAAAAACTAGTCCAAAAATGTTCTAAAGAATCAAACTGAATAAAAATACATCACTTACAGAATTCGAAGGCTTTTTCTCAAAGTCATTAAATGTTTACATACCGACATAAAGGATGGAGCACCCTGTACGTCAAAACAAACAACAGAAATATCTATTTTAAAGAATTCTATAGCTCTTTTGAGGAGAAATTGGACTCTCTAATATCCAAACTGACTGGATTTAATTTGCCTGATATATGGGATCTGACGTCATCCGCAGTTGTATCTTTTGCAAACCGGGATACAAATATGGACTTCCTTTACGGATCCACAACTAGCTCTTTTCGAATTATAGTTTCTAATTTGTGACTTTTCTTATGAAACGGAGCGTCAAGTTAAGTTTTTTTTTTGTTGTTGAAATAATCAAATAAAGCAATAAAATGCATGTACACAGATACAAATACAAAGGATAATTGAGGAAAAAGGGTTATGTGTGAAATGAAAACATTTAACGGTTTAGTGTGTGTGCAAAAGGGTTAGATACAAACAGGTTTAGTTGTATTTATTTTTGTATTTTTATTGCTTCTCAAATTAATAGTAAATTTGAGCAAAGTTTTACCAAAAAAAAAAAAGAAAGTTTATGAAAACATATGTACACTCAAACATGCGTGTAAACATATTTACAGCAAAATGCGAGTATTGTGTACTTGGGACTTTTTATTTATTTTATTAGATATTCTCCTTTTTTCGACGAACGTGTGTAATTGGCAATGTGGAAGAGGAATAAAATAAACATACGAGATGCCAACATGTTTTTGTTTATATTTTACATATATGCATATATACATATTTATGTTCCAGGCTTGTCAGTAGGATTTAGCAAAGGGATAAGTGCCACACAATGTGTGCTTGATTAGCATTTACGAATGCCTACTGAGGATAATTCGGCGATAACAAGCACGTGACGCTGTGACTAAGATAGGAAGTGCTTGGAAGGAGTCTTAACTAGACGGCAGGGTTGCAGCTAAAATATAAAGTATGCAGCAGATATTTTCATACACATGTTTAAAGAAATCAGTATACTTTCTAAACATTGCTATTTTTCGCTCTCAGATAATTTGTATATTAAATATATTATTTTGCTTTCAGAGGAAGAGTGAAATTTAAAGAAACTTATCTTACAGCCGTAGACATCAGCTGTCTAGCTAAATGGGCTAAAGAGAAAAGTTAAAAGCAACCAAGAAATGTCTGAAGCAGCTTAAAGCTGAAAGCCAACAGTTCAATTGCTTTATATGTAACAAAATTATTAAATTATTTTTATCCATTCTAATTAATTGATATTTTCAGTTATTTATTACATTATAAGAAGTAAATAATTCTGTTAATATGTTTGCGTACTTATAAAATATAAAAATTTATTTCGTTTTCAAATATCAAGCAAATCGAACCATAAAATCGATCTTTTAGAATATGTCATACATAGCATACTTTTAGGCTTTAACTGTGCTATTTGATGTACTTATGCATATATATACTCGTATACATGTACATGTGTTCTTATTTGATAATTGCAATTCTCAGGTGAACAGTGAAGCATTCACCTTTAAGTATCTATTAGATGCCAAACTCGTGGTGGCTGGTACATAAGCGCAGCCTTGCATTATTAAAGGCAAGTTTAGAGGTTTTACAGTACAAGGGGTTCCAAGAATTACACAGAAAACTTGAAGAACCAAAACGTTAAAAAATATGCTCTTCGTTACAAATGGAAGGATTTTACTCCGCATCATTTCCAAATTTCTGCTGAGCTCACCACAGAGCCTTACCCAATAAAATCATAATGTAAAAGGAGGAAAGGCCATACCGCACCACCCCGGTGAATGGATTTCTGGGTACAATATATCACCAACTTCCCGATTGATAAACACCATCACCTTTCTACATCCCAAAGCTTAAGTTCTTCAACTTATTATTATTTGAGAAAATATTGTTCATAATCCAATGAGTACCTTGAAATACAGATCTTTCTTATTTTAGGATGAAATAGAAAAGCTTCGTATAAAGGAAAGTTTAAAAAAAAAACATATAACATTCAGAAAAATACCTGAAATCTTTATTTGAATCGATAGTACGTCCATATAATTTAATATTTGAAGGTAATTTCATGCAAATGTTGACCGTAACTGCGCCTTAAATAGTCCATCCACTTAGTCCAATTTCGACCGATATCTCACGAGTAAATGCTTTAATGTTGTCCTCCAATGCGTCAATTGAAGCGGACTTGTCTTAATAGACATCAGCCTTAACATAGCCCCACAAACAATGGTCTAAAGGCGTTAAATGGCACGATCTAGGCGCCCCATTAACCGGTTCCGAAAGTGAAATAAAATGTTCATCGAACTCGCTTCCCAATAAGTCCATTTTTATGCGTGCTGTGT